TATTATATAAATTAAATTCGCTAAGTTTATGTCATGACTTTATACAGTTAAAATTAACTTTACATAACTAAATTTTAAACAGTTAGTGGCTTACTGCTCTACGCAGATACATTTATTGTTTAATCGTCAGCATCAAAATCAGAATTAGAATATTTATTTGTACATCAACAGCTTATAAGTGCCCACTGCTAACCAAAGGCCTCTTCCCACAACGAGAAGGTTTGAACATTAATCACCACGGTTGCTCAATGCGGGTTGGCGATTTCAAACTTATAATATATAAGCCTAGGTATCCTCATGATATTTTCCTTCACCGCTTGTCAGTGGTATCTAAATTACCTTAGAAAGTACATATAACTCGGAAAAAGTCACGTTGGTACTTGCCGTTGGAAGGTTTTGAGCCCGCACTCTCATGCATGAGAAGCGAGCGTGTTTAACCTACGGACCGGTACCACGATATTGTTTACAGAAACTATTCCTTAGAATGATTTTTGTTCCGAAAACAATTGGTAAGCTTTGGGTTAAGTGTTAATTAAATGACTCATGAATATCGTTTGAGTGCAATGTTGGATAATAAATTAAGAGTAACCCATAGGTTACTCTGCTACAGAAACTCCACAGAGTTTCTTGCTCGTTCTTCTCCATAGAAATCTCCACATTGGAATAAGCTAATAGCTTCACTTTATTTTTTTTCTGGCGTTCTCCAGTGCTTGACTGGTCTAATTGAAATAAATGATTTTGACCCTGACTTTGAACAATTATTGTTGGTTATGTTAATTCATTCAAGAATATATATAATGTGATGTGATGTGATATAAAAATGAACATACCAAAATAATATTATAATCTGCAATCCAGTTTCGAAGCTTGACTTTCAGTCGTCATTATCTGAAACAAGCAGAAATAAAATTATTACTTTCGTACAAAAATAACATCAACAACATAACATCACGCCTTTCTTCCCCGAAGGGGTAGGCAGAGGTGCACATTACGGCGCTTGATGCCACTGTACCATGTAACACCCACTTATCACTATTTTATGTTATGAGTCCCAAGTAATAGGGGGTGAGCCGGGCACAGTTCCAGAGTCCGTGCTACCACTGAGAAATTTTTAAAAACCCAGTAGATAATACTTTGTCGACCCGGGAATCGAACCCGAGACCCCTTGCCCAGCAGTCGCACTAGCGACCACTCAGCCAACGAGGCAGTTAAAAACGACGAGCAGCAAAATCGAACAGTAAAAAAATAAGAATCCCAAAATACATAAACGTCCAGTCAGCCAACGAATTTCACATGTAGGTAAAAATATTAAAGATAGTAACAATAGGGTAGATGACTAATTTTTATTTTAATATCCGTCTGGTAGATTATTTAAAAACATTAGACACGTATTTTTTATTTTCTTACGGAGACGAATAGTTTCGAAGATATATTGATTTGAAATGTCGCGTGACGTCACTTCTCAGTACATTTTATACTAAGAAATGACGTTTTAGCCCCCACTCCTAAACTTTGATTCGTTTTATCTAAGTATTGTTTTATTATATGACAAAATAAAAAATACGTGTCTAATATTTTTTAATTACTTAACTGACGGACTAATTAAATTTTTAATTTTCATACCTTGTCATCATCCCTATTGATTAGCTACTGAATCGACCAATGATTACTAAAGATACGGCTTCGATTTAAAGAATACTTGGCATCACAAGCAAATGTTAATATACAATTGAATCAAACTTCATTTTAATTGACTTATACAATCGATGAATACTGAAAGGCTACTCAAAAATTGTACTTCTATCGTGCCATCTCTTTCCCATAAAGAATTTGTAGCGACAGAACTATACTTATTCTGATTCTGATCTGTTTTTATAATAACTACTATCGTGAGACATACCAAAATAACTAAAAACCGCGGGTTACTCAAGTGAATATACTGAGATAAGCTCTACTAGTTGCGAACCACAGACGGGTTCTTGGTTCTTCCTCATGAGCAGCGTGCGCGGTCGCGGCGATGTCGATTGTAGGCTGCGCGATAGCTTTTAGTATATTCACGTGAGTAACCCGCGATTGTTAATTAATTTCTACTGATCTTTCAAAGTACGCCGTACTTGAAGTTACATTATGTGAATTTCAGTTTCAAGACAGATAATATTACTCTATATCTCTAGAACTTAGAAACACTAAGTGGCTTTGCTTACATTACAGACAAGTTAACTTTGAAGTTTAGACAATAAAATGTACAGTTGGAGTGAAAATCTAATCTCCAACGAGACAGACAACTTAAGAATAGCGTTCTACAGACTCCATTTCTAAGCCATTAGTTAGATTAGATAATTATTTTTAAGTTTTAATAATTTTCGCGTTTCAAAATAGCACATTAGTGTATATAATTTGGCTAAGCAAATATGCTTATTTTAAGGGCCTCGCGTTTAACCTATTACTAAAGGAAGAAACAATTGTTTGCTGCGAAAATAAAATTTACTTGTCTAACATTAAAACCAAAACTTTACCCACAGTAAAATTTCTATATTTTTATGGCATTTTTTAAGGGGAAAAAAATCATCGAATTACTTCTCCCGCCTGGGTGAGGCGGGAGGAAGTGTCAGACTCTTACTGACTAAAAACCACCCTGTTGCTACTCCTGCCCTATTGGGCCCCATCCGTGGTGGTCTGATGGCTCTTAGAGACGCGCGCGGAACGCGACGCATCGCGCGGTCTTGTCTGGTATGTTTTTTAACATACTTTATGGCATAGGAGCAAATGAGTCGACGGGTCACCTCATAGGAAGCGATCAGCGTCGCCTATAGACACCAAAGGAGTTACAAATGTGTTTCGATCCTTTAAAGAAGAAGTACGCTTTTCATCAACAGTATAATTAATTTTTGAGCCTTACTTTCTTCCTTTTTTCCAGTATTCTTGACAGAGTATTCATGGTTAAATACTGAGTCTGAATCAATTGCTTTAGCCCGTCTCACGACGACATTTACTAGTATGTCATAAACGCTTTAGTCAGCAGTATAATGCTACTTTCTAAACGCTATGACTGTACCTTCATACTAAAAGGGTCTTCACAAGCAATAACCCCCACAAGGGTATGTTACAGTACATAATATACAATATAATTTAGGTTTCTGAGATATATTATTGCCTCATAATATAACTGTATCACGTCTGTAGTCTAGAGACAAAGGGTATGAAGTATCGCCCACATATATTATCTCTGAGGCCCTTTCGACAAAGTATATTACTGTTCTTGTGACCTATTTTGATTTGTATGATTAAGATGATGATTATGACGCTGGCATAACGTTTATATCATATTGGTGTATCTACTATAACCGCTCCTACTCTTCTTATCACTGTCTTAAGTCGAGTAACCAAAATGAATCATCATCAACAGCCTATTCTCACATGGAGCATTTGTGCATATCATCACGCTTGCTCAATGCGGGTTGGCGATTTCAAACATATAATTTGACTGCACGGTTGGTGCGGTGGCTGGGCAACCGGCTGCCGTGCAACGTGTCGCGGGTTCGATTCCCGCACGGGACAACACTTTGTGTGATCCACAAAGTGTTGTTTCGGGTCTGGGTGTCATGTGTATGTGAACTTGTATGTTTGTAAACGCACCCACGACACAGGAGAAAATCTTAGTGTGGGGCAACGTTTTTAAAAAAAAAAAATTAGAAATTATATGTTCAGGTTTCCTCACTGTTTGTCAGTGGTGTCTAAATAATCTAAGAAAGTACATATAACTCGGAAATGTCACATTGGTACTTGTCGTTGATAGGTCTCTAAGTCGCACCCTCGTGCATGAGAAGCGAGCGTCTTAAACCTCCGGGCTACCACGACATAATTACTTATTTCTACTAAACTTACTTCAACCCAAAATCCGTGGATTAAGATCGACTTTTGACAGAAACTAATTTCAAAAACAGTTAATGACAAAAATCGATCCATATCCGTAGATTTTAGATAAAGATGACAATGATGATGATAACCTTTTATTCCTAAACATAGGGTTACAAAAGGCCCCTAAGTTTTGTGTGCCTTTAGGCGTCCTCCCATTCCTTCCAATGGATCTTGTCGATTTCACCGCTCAACCACTGTCTGTTTCAAGTCATCTTCCCATCTCCTAACTTAACGACCTCCTTTTGCCGTCACTTGGTTTCCAGAGGGTGAAATGTATACTTTATTTGTTAATGGGATGGCAAAGTAAATGTCCAGCCCACTCCACTCCACTTTTAGGCATCTATCTGGTTAAGAATGTCAGTGTTTTAGTTCTTGTTCTTATATCTGCGTTTCTCATTCTGTTTTTGATGTCGTATCATTTTAGATTAGGACAGGTTTTTAATTTCGGCTGTAAAGGACCACGCAATTCGACAAAAAATTGGGCTGCAGTACTCTGATAAATCTGAGAATGTGATCTGCATCTGCAATCGCGTATCCCACATAGAGGGGTATGTAGGGGACGTCATAGTTCCAGTAGTGGACTGCTGTGACCTATTGAAGTATATTATTATTTATTTAAGCTTCATGCACAAAGTGTATACATATGGTGGTAAACATATGGTGGACTTAATGCCGCAGGTATTTACTCCCAGTCTGACCTTTGGGTGATGCAGAGAAGAGTTAATGGTGTGAGTAAGAAGCAAGCAACGAATTAATTGAGCAATTAAAATAGATACACTTACATATTTCAGTGATAAACATAAATAAACATAATTATAATATTAGACAACAAAAATAACAATAAGAGCGATTCTTCCAATAATATGTATTCGTAGATTAGAGATAGAATTTTAAGTCACTTTGTATGCAGATTAGGTATGTACATTAAAATTCTATCCATAGTAAGCAAAATCAAACGACAGATTCGTTACCGAGACCGGCCATTGGTCAATTTCACCGGGAAAGCCATATGAAGATAGATTACCAGTGATTCCATATCACAGTTAAACAGAGAGCTATCCATTCACACGGATCCGAAGTTCGCCACAAGTTTGCCACAAAGTTGTAACTAACTTCTTTATCTTAAGTAAGTTTTATTACTTTCGATTGGGTGTCAGAAGGTACGGTGGTATAGTGATAGAAATTCGACTACAAAGTAAGAAGATTCCCTCGATTTGAAGCTATTTTTTTATCGGACAAACCCGCCACAACCTCACAAAACCACTGCAACTCCTGTAAGCCAGGGTCTACTGTACTGATACGACCATGAAAACACCGAAAACTGAAGGCTGGCGCGTCTCAGGGGCATGATGTCTTGGTTACCGAAACGAAATAAATCAGATTTTTTTTCTTAAAAAAACGTTGCCCCACACTAGGACTTTCTCCTGTGTCGCGGGTGCGTTTATAAACATACAAGTTCACATACACATGACATCCAGACCCAGAACAACAATTTGTGGATCACACAAAGAGTTGTTCCGTACGGGAATCGAACCCGCGACACGTTCCGCGGCAGCCAGTTGCCCAGCCACCGCGCCAACCGTGCAGTCTTATATATTATTGTAATAGGAGAAGAAAAATAGCGATATTTTCCACTTCCCTCAATGAATTTTGACTTGATCGTGGCCGTGATCCGGGAACTTCTCTGCACTCACAGAAACCCAATGGATGTGGCATATGCTCTTGGTATTGTGTATTGTGGCATATACTCGTCTAAGTCAAGAGTGAGATCCCTTGAGTTAAAAAGTTTTTCAAGGGCGCGGATCCCGAAGTCTCCCCCGAACACGTTATACCTGGTACACACTCAGGTAGAAAAGGAATCCCTCAAAAACCAGGGATACGGATCGGGTGTGGGGTCACGAGTACTCACAATACACGAGGCCCAGGGGCTGTCGTATGCGGCAGTGGTGATTGTGAACACAACGGACAGG